TCCCAATGTGGGTCGCCCTCCAGAAAAGGAGGAAGATGCGGATGAGGTGGAAGATCAGGTGGCAGATGATGGTACTGGTGTTGGAGAATGGTTAGGCGACGCAGTCGCGAACTTTGAGGAGGAAGGCTCGGCACCGGTGGAACCTGCGCCAGTTCTGGAAGCGGAGGTGTTGAAAATTCAAGCTTCTGAGAAATCCTGGAAGGAACTGAAGGACCACTTGACCCAACCTGTCCGTATGATCAACTTCGTTATGGTGGAGCCGATTGTGGATAAACAGCAAACAACTGTTTTGTCGGCAGTTCAAAGGATGATGGTGCGCTTGCAGAGACATGGGTATCCGGTGTTGAGAATCCACTCAGATCGAGCGGGGGAGTTTGTCAATGCACGCTTCCGCTCCTTTTGTGAAACTCGTCTGATATATAGGACCACTGGTGATCCTGGAGTCCCGCAAACAAATGGGCGCGCTGAAGCATGTGTGGGTTTATTCAAACGTGGTGTCAGGTCGCTCTTAAAGGAGGCGCGACTCGGGCCGGCGTACTGGGCACTGGCTGCTCGCCATTGGTCAATGTTACGGTGGCAGAAAGCTGAAAGGGAGTTGGGGTTGAATCCTAAAGCATTGCTTCCCTTTGGTGCTCAGATTCAAGTCAAACGTCGTCCGTGGGAGTTGCTGGGTCCGGATGGAACAAAGAAAGGTCGGCAATGGGTCGATCGTACGCAGCCTGCGCTTCTTTTGGGTCCATGCGATGACCTACCTGGTGGTTATTGGGTGGAAGCTCAAGGGACTGCAAAAGATCCGGATGAACTGGTGTTATTTCCCTGCACTACGATTTTTTCCAATATAAAGGAACCGCCTGAATTGGAGCTGGAAGGGGTGGTAGAAGAACAGGAGCCTTCTCCTCCAGAGCATCGTCTCAAGGGGAAAAAACCGGCGCTTCGGTTCGCTGATGAGGAAGGTCCTCCTTTACCTCCGCCTCGCGATCCTCCAGTTCGTCATCGGTTAAATGAAAAAAAAGCCCGGCCTCTTCACTGCGTGGTCATGTGGGCTCCTTGCGCTTGCTTCGCAAGCGGGGGGAGAGTCCGCCCTTAGAAATTTTCGAGGATGACATGCAGGGTCTGGGGGAGCTGGAAGAAAATGCAGATGTTGAGGACAATGTTCCTGGTGATGAGTATTGGCCGACTTGCTGTTCTCCTCATGAAAATGCTTATTTGGTCTGCAAAAGTGAGACTGCTGGGGATGGAACACAGTTGGAAAAAGAAGAGCAAAAAGCCAAGTCAATGTATGAAAGGTCTATGTATGATTACGTGGACTGTGAGGAGCTTCTGGAAGGGATTGTATACCCAAAGAGGGTGAATCGAAGAGGTGGTATTAACAATTGGTGCACAAGTACGCGAGCTCTGGTGTTGGGCCACTATACTCATGGCGGAGTGTGTGGTATTACAAAAGAGACTTATAGAAGGCCATGGCTATGTCGTTATCTGGCATCATTCGTGAGACACCACAATCCTGAAGCCAAATTTTCTGCTCTTCAGATCTCGTGCAATGCTCCGGTGTCATTGCATAGGGATAGTCACAATGAAAAGCATTGCTGCAATTATGTGTGTGGCTTTGGTGACTATAAAGATGGTCAGCTGTGGGTTGAGGATGAAAAGGTTTTAGAGGAAGGAGCTGAAGTGGTGGACCAATCCTATGGGAAGAAAGTCTTACCTGGAAAATTGGTCGATATCCACTGGAACTTCGTGTCGTTCTTTCCGAGAAAACTGCATGGTCCTATGCCTTGGAAAGGGAACAGGGTATCCTTGACAGGGTACACACCTGTTTTTATGGAGCGTTTGAGCTACAAGGATAGGTGCTATCTTCTCCAATGTAAGTTTCCTCTTCCGGAACCACAAGCTGAAGAAGGTGAAAAAAGGAAATGGTTAAAAATGACGCTGAAAGAAACCTCGCTGGACGACCTTGCAGAGGAAGTCGACTACGCTGTGTTCGAAGCGCATCAATGGGCTCTAGAGGAGCATTTGAGTATTCGACGCCTAATTGCTGAACAGGAATGTTGCATTTTGGACGAGTTCCATGGATCGGCCACTGAGTCGAATGAGGAAAAAGGATCAGAGACTAGAGAATGGCTGGTTAAAGCAAAAAGGGCTGAGGAACAGCTCTCGAAGTTTTTGGTCAAAGCAGCTCAAGTTCAGCAAATGGTACAAGAAAACACCGCGCTTGAGGCAGCAGAGGAGGTTGAGTTCCTGCAAACAAAAACAATCCCTACGCAAGAAGCCATGCAAGAGCTGGAAAAGTGGAGGGAATCATTGTCGGACGAGGTGACGTCTTTGGTGAAAGAGTTGGAGGTGGTGGAACCAACAACTCAAGAAAAGCTGGACAAATTGGCGGAAGAGCCTAATGCACCGGTGATTGAGTACGTTCCCAGTCTGGTGGTGTTTACCCGGAAGCAAGGGACAGGGAGGCGACGTGCCCGTATCTGTGCATGTGGAAATTTTATTTCGTCAACGGCAGCTACAGAATATGAAGGGCCGAGGTCCCTCAGTCGTCACTCGCTGTACGCCCCAGGTTTAGACTCAACTACATTCAGGTGTCAAGTGAGGCACGCAGCATATATGGTGTGGATCATCGCTGGTTTAGACATTTCCAAAGCTTTTCTGACGGCGCCGATGAATAGGGCGCAAAGAGAAGGGCGTCTGGTGGTGGTGCAGCCCCCAAGGGCGGCGGTGAAATTGGGTCTTTGCACAAAGGAGGAGCGGTGGATTGTGAGAAAGGCCTTGTACGGTTTGGCCGAAAGTCCTGCAGCATGGGTGGAGTGGCGAGACCAACGTCTTCAAGGTATGTCTTGGGTGTCAAAGGATGGACAAGCAATGAGCTTTCAGAGGTCCAATGCAGACCCAAGTCTGTTCCTTATTATGGCACAAGAAAAGCCGGAAGGTGCAAGCAAGTTGGTAGGGACAATGGGTCTTTACGTGGATGATTTTTTGATGGCTGGGACTATGACAGTGCTCCGAGAAGCCTTGGAACAGATCAGGAAGGAGTGGAAAACTTCTGAACCCGAGTTCTGTGGTCCAGGCTGTGGTGATGGATTCCTGAAGTTTTTGGGTGTCCAAATCTGGTATCGAAATGGCAGCTTCTTTCTCAACCAGGAGGACTTTGTGAGAGATTTGCTGAACCGACGAGGGTATCAGATCGATGAAACTGGAAAAGGGAGTAACCTGCCAATGGTGAAAGAAACTCCAGGTGAAGAAGAGGAGGTGGATATTCCTTCCTTGCGAGCGGCTCAAGGTGCCGTAGGGGAGTTCCTCTGGGTGGCAATCAAAACTCGACCTGATTTGGCGTTCTGCACGAGCCAGTTGTCTTTGTGGACATCCCGAAGGCCGCGATTTGTGGTTAAAAAGGCTGAGGAGGTTTTCCGATACCTTGCTGCAACTCCAACGTTAGGCCTGACGTTCGGAGCAATCGCAACATGCGAAAAAGAAAGAAATGAGGTGTTGCGTTATGGACGAGGCGTTAAGGTGGTGGAGTCCTACGCGGATGCCAGCTTTGCGGCAGGTGAAAATGAAAAGAGCCACTCAGGAGCAGTGGTGGTGTGGGGTGATTGTCCAGTGATGTGGGCAACACAAAGACAATCAACGGTGGCTTTAAGTACGGCTGAAGCTGAATTACATGCGTCCATAGAGGGAGCAACGATGATTCAGTCGTGCACCCCTATAATTGCCGCTTTGGTTGGAACAGGTGAAGAATCACTGCAAAAAGTGCTGTATACAGATTCGGTTTCGACATGCTCAATCATTCAATATCCGGCTGGAAGCTGGAGGACAAGACACCTGAGAATTCGAGCAGCCGGTGTCAGGTCTCTGGTAGACCGTGGTTATATGGTGATCGCGCACCTTCGCGGTGAGTATATGATCGCTGACCTGTTGACCAAATTGATGAGTGGACAGGTGTATGCAAAGCAAAAGGCACTTTGGGGTCTCCGACTGTTGGTACAAGGGACTGACTTGAAGAGGGCCTCGCTTGCAATGGCGGTCATGATGGTGGCTGCATCTCTGCAAGGGATGGCAACTGGTGGCGAAGAAGTGTCAACTGCTGGTTTCTTTTGCTCAGAAGAAGGGGTGTGCAAGGTCGCCAACACATCTACGGTGATGGTTCTGGCTCAAGGTATTGAAATGGTATCAACAATTCAGACCTTGTTGCGTATTTGGTGGCAGCAATTATACTCTGGGAGTTGGCATGGTGCCTCTTTCGGCAGCTGTATAAAAGGCTGTGGGTTAAGAAAGTGGTGGTTATTCCTGCGAGTGCCACTTTGTATACAACAGTGGGTGGGAACTGTATGCACGCAAGCAGTGACTGTGATGTTCTGCGATATTCACAGCCCAGGGCTAAGACGCTTTGTAAGCATTGCCTCAAGGACGGCTGGGTGGTGAATGCCGAGTTCCTTGGTGAGGAACGGGCCGCGGGAACGTGAATTTTTCAAGTGCGAGGTGATAAAATCCTCAATGGTAAAGGATTCGGCCAATGAGCTGAAGGTTCGTCCTGGATGACGTAAAACCATAATGTGCATTTCAAGCAGCTGGCTGCTGCCTAAATGGCGGTTTTTGGCCAAAGATCTGCACCTCCAATGTGTCCTAGGAAATCCTAGGACAGGGGGAGTGCGGAGCTGCAGTTGGTATTGTAGGAAGGAGTTGGTATTGGAAGTTGAAGGGTCAATGAACCCGGTAATCTTATGGCTCAAGCCATGACCAAAGCGGTCGAAGGTTTCGTAAAAAGTGTGCCCTTGGTTTGGGGTCTTGTTGTTTGGTTGTTGGTTGTTCCAGGGGAATCAAGGGTTTCTGTTGGGGTTGACTGTTTTGTTCCCTGTCCTCCTTCGGTTGCCCCCCGTACCCTAAACCCTAAACCCCTGAACCCTGAACCCTGAAGGCAGGGATCCGGGTTGCCCTCCATGAAGCTCCCTGAGCCCTAAACACAAAGGCCTCCCTGGGCACTCCGTCTCTTGGTTGCGGGCCCTGTCCGGGCCGTTCACGCGGTAGGGATAGAAGGAGGCATCCAGCTCCTGGTTTAGGATTTAGGGTTTGGGGTTTGGGGTTTCGGGTTTCGGGGTTGAGACATGTGCACACCTCGTGCCCATGACCATGGCACAGTGACCCCAAACGGCCCGGTGTATTAATGTCACCAAAACACATGAAATGGCTGCAAGTGAGACAGTCACTGCGTTCCCGCTGCAACATTTAGGCTTGGGGGTAGAGGTCCCCTCAACCCTAAACCCTAAATCCCAAAACCCCTAAAGCCCTAAACCCCTAAACCCTAAACCCAGGTCCTTAGGGGTTTAGGGTGTAAACCCTAAACCCTAAACTCGACACCCTAAACCCTAAACCCTAAACCCTAAACCCTAAACCCTAAACCCTAAACCCTAAACCCTAAACCCTAAACCCTAAACCCTGAAACCCTAAACCCTCCAAACGCTTGGGAGGCTCCTCCGGCGGATCCGGCTGCTCAGCGATGGCCTCCAAGGCGGCCAACTCTTCGGCTGCACCTTGGGCTTTTAGTTTAGGGTTTAGGGTTTAGGGTTTAGGGTTTAGGGTTTAGGGTTTAGGGTTTAGGGTTTAGGGTTTAGGGTTTAGGGTTTAGGGTTTAGGGTTTAGGGTTTAGGGCTGCTCGTTTGGGGTTTAGGGGTTTCGGGTTTAGGGTTTAGGACTTAGGGTTGCTGATGGTTTGGGGTTCACTTAGGGCTTCTTTGCTGGGGGCTTAGGGCTGAGAGCTTGCTTGGGAGTTTAGGATTTCGGGGATCTGTTCCTGCACCCCAAACCCTAAACCCTAAACCCTAAACCCTGAACCCTGAAACCTAAACCCTAAACCCTAAACCCTAAACCCTAAACCCTAAACCCTAGACCCTAGACCCTAGACCCTATAAGACTCGAACAACTGCTCCGGCCCTCGAACTTCCCTGATCCACATGAGCTCCTGGCGAGCTTCGGCAGCTTCCGCCTCGAGAGCCGCAGGGGCCCGCGTGGTCAGATGATCTCTAAAACTCGGATGGCCGTTTAGGGTTTAGGGTTTAGGGTTTAGGGTTTAGGGTTTAGGGTTTAGGGTTTAGGGTTTAGGGTTTAGGGTTTAGGGTTTAGGGTTTGGGGCTTATAGGGCTTAGGGTTTATTAACGCCCTCTAAGAAAAAAACTCCTTAACGTACCCCGCAGCCCGGAGAAGCCCGATGGGACCTATGCCAACTGAGTCCCGCGAGCCCAAAAGCCCCATAAGCCCCAAAAGTCTTAACCCTAAGACCCTGGAAGCCCCAAACCCTATGAAGCTCAACAGCGTTTTAAACCCCAAGCCCTGGCCCCAAACCTTGAAACACTCAACGTTAACATGCAGCCCGAAACCTGCAAACCCCAACAGTTCTTGATCCCGAAAGCCCTGCTAACCCAAACTGAAAAAATGTAGGCGAAAGCCTACACAAACCCCGTCACCCTCTCTATACAACCTAACAGACCTTTCATAAGTTCTTCTACGCTCTTTACAACCCATAACCCTGAAAAACCCTGTAAACGTCAACACCAAACAATACACATAATACCCCGGAAGCTAGCAAATCAAAGCCACCAAAGCCCAGAAAACCCCAACCCTCAAACCCTCAAACCCTCAAACCCTCAAACCCTCAAACCCTCAAACCCTCAAACCCTCAAACCCTCAAACCCTCAAACCCTCAAACCCTCAAACCCTTCAACCCTCAAACCCTCAACCCCCAAAAACCCCTAAAAACCCCTAAAAACCCCTAAAAACCCCTAAAAACCCCTAAAAACCTAAACCCCAAAACCCCAAAACCCTTCAACACTCTAAAACCCATAAAACCCCAAACCCCAAAACCCTTCACCCCTAAACCCTAAAACCACAAAACCCTAAAAGCCTAAAGCCTAAACCCTAAACCCCAAAACCCCTCAACCCTAAACCCTAAACCCTAGACTTGTGATCACCGTAATCAGACACACATTTCAAAAGGAATTCAGAATTCGAAATAGAATCGAAAACAAAATCAAAAACAATTCGTAACAACAATCGGAGCATCAAAGCAAAAATCGTACAATAAACTTGTGAATAAAACATCAAAATAAAATCGAGATATATCGTGAGACCGATGTTTCGGCGTTTTTCCGCGGAGAACACATCGGAGAAAAAATCGGGAAAAAAGAACACGAGCAGACGGCAATTGAAAATCGAAAAATCAAAGTTTTCAAAACCCTAAACCCTAAACCCTAAACCCTAAACCCTAAACCCTAAACCCTAGACCCTAGACCCTAGACCCTAAACCCTAAACCCTAAACCCTAAACCCTAAACCCTAAACCCTAAACCCTAGCCTTGAACCCCAAACCCAATACAAACTCTGTGCATGGAGCCTCGGGGTCCGCCTCTGGGGGAGGTTGCCCCTCCTCTTCCTCGTAGAAGAACGCCGAGGATCGGGCTGGGGTTAGGGGTTCGGGGTTTAGGGATTAGGGTTTAGGGTTTAGGGTTTAGGGTTTAGGGTTTAGGGGTTCGGGGTTTAGGGATTAGGGTGGGGATGTTCCCCCTGATACTAACAGTCCTGAATCGGGAATATATTCAGGAATACTGTCATCCCTACTAAGGACTGTTAGTATAAGGGGGAACAAGATTAGGGCTTGTTCCCCCTCCCCTGCCAGAGCAAGTTCGATCGCGAGGCGCAGTTGTCATTCATGGCCCCTGAAAATCAAGACCCTCCCGAACCCAACAGACGATCTTAGTAATGCTGAGCCCTGCTTCGGAGTAGACACTGGAAAAAGAGCATATGCTTTGTAGGGATGAGTAGCTAGAATAGGAACCCTGTCCCGACAAAGTATTGCAGTATAGTACTCCAAAACCCCAGGCTGGGATCTTCAATGGCGCGCTTGAGGTCTCACATCTACCTGCCCCAGTTCTCTAAACGGTTAGGGTTTAGGGCTTAGGGGTTAGGGTTTGGGGTTTGGGGTTTAGGGTTTAGGGTTCGGGTTGAGGGTTCAGGGTTTAGGGTCTAGCATGTAGTTGAGAGGCCTGAAACCCGAAACCTGAAACCCTAAACCCTAAACCCTAATGCCTAAACCCTAAACTAAACCCTAAACTCAGTTCTGGCCACATCCCCGGAGGCTCCTCTTCCTTCGCTGCTTTCGCGGCCTCGGCCTACACAGAAGTCCATGATCAGTTTGCAAAGCAAAAGGTTTAGGGTTTAGGGTTTAGGGTTTAGGGTTTAGGGTTTAGGGTTTAGGGTTTAGGGTTTAGGGTTTAGGGTTTAGGGTTCTTCAACATCTTGAAGCCTAAGCCCGAAACCCTAGAGCTGGAGTTTAGGCAGATATACTTGTAGCCCCAAACAGCTGCACGTGAACCTTCAGGCACGTCCACACCCCCTAAACCCTAAACCCGAAATCCCTAAACCCTAAACCCTAAATCCCTAAACCCTAAACCCTAAACCCTAAATCCCTAAACCTTAAACCCTAAACCCTAAACCCAAAACCCTTAACCCCTAAAACCCTAAACCCCGATCTCCCGGAAACTGGGGACTCGCAACCTGCCACAGGGAGTTCGCACGCACCCCTGACCTCTTGTTCAGGAACTCAAAGGGGTTTTAGGGGGTTTAGGGTTTAGGGTTTAGGGTTTAGGGTTTAGGGTTTAGGGTTTAGGGTTTAGGGTTTAGGGTTTAGGGGGGATTAGGGTGTAGGATTGGCGTACCCGGAGTACGCAATCGAGTGCCCTGATTCTGGTAGCACCATTTCCGGTTGTTGTTGCATCAGAGTGGCCGACTCTGGCTTCACACCACGAATAGCTTCGTCGGACGCAGTCCCAGTAACGCGCTGCGTCCCCCTGCTTTTTTTGCTTACATGCCCCTGTTATCGGGGTTGCCACACACACACACAACGCGCAGCACCCGAGAGCCTAAACCCACCGACAAATGACATGTCGATGCCTCTGTGTGTATGGGCAATGTATATCGAAGTCAGCCCTGTAAGTGACAGCTTCTTTCTGAAGCCCATGAATACTAGAATGCGGGCCCCCACACACTTGGTACACACTGGAGAAGAACGAGGCGTCGGTGCGTAGCTTTTGAGATGCCGAAATTCCCAGACCCCAATATACTTAAATCGCGAAACCATAAACCCAACTCGGTCCCTGCGTTTCAAGAATTCGCCACCCCAAACCAGCTAAACCACCCGAAGCCCCCCCAAAAAGAACCCAAACCCCCCAAACCCCCCAAACCCCCCAAAAAAAAAACAAACCCCCCAAAACCCCCAAAAAACCGGAAACAAAAACAAATCCGAAACCAACAAACCTGAACCTAAGTCGTCCCACAGCCTCCTCTTCGGGTTTAAAGGTAAAAACCCCAAAACCCCCCAAAACCCCCAAAAAAAAACCCAAAACCCCAAAAACCCCAAACCCCCCCCCCCCCTCCCCCCAAAAAAACCCAAAAACCTAAGTCGTCCCACCGCCTCCTCCTTGCGGGCTTTGCGAACCTCGACTACTCGCTGCGCCACCTGCAAGACAGGGGGGGTCACTGAAAGCAAGCTTCGGGCTTTGATAGGGTTTAGGGTTTAGGAATTAGGGTTTAGGGTTTAGGGTTTCGGGTTTAGGCTTAAGGCTTTAGGGTTTAGGGTTGATAAACCCCAACCCCCCCCCGGCCCAAAACCCTGAACCCAAACCTCTCCCCCCCCCCCCCCCGGCCCAAAACCCTAAACCCCCTCAGCCCCGAACCCTTGACCTTCCACCCCTTCCTCCCCCCAACTCCTTCGGGGGACTCATTCAGGGAAACCACAAGCGGACTGCCTAGAGCCTCCTGAAGGCTCCCTGAGGCTATGGGGAGTCCCGCCGGGTGTCCAACAGTTCATGGCCTTTTGGCTGGCAAGTAGGGCGCGACATGTTGCGGAAGAAGGCTAGGAGCCGTGCCTGTAGCTAACCTACTTCTAGGGTTTGCAACCCCACCCTCCAAGTAGTCCAGTTCAGGTCAAGATGTCTTCGGATTGTGTGCAAGGCTGCTGAGGCTGGTTTCGAGATGAACGTTGAAGCCTTCAGGCGGTCCAGATGCCCTTTGGCCCTAAACCCTAAACCCTAAACCCTAAACCCCAAACCCTAAACCCTAAACCTGAAGGTGCCTTTCTGTTTGTGGTCTGTTTACGAGCCACCAGACGTCCACCGAGTTGCGCTCAGAACCTTTTCGGTGCAAACCCTAGACCAAATCCTATACCCCATACCGGACTTGGCAGCCCAGTAACCATATTATAATAAGGGCACCCTTTTTGGGGTTGGCTATTTTATAAGGGGGCCCATATCCTAAAAATAGGGTAAAGAGTAAAGGGTACCACTGGGCTACCAAGCGGATCATGCTTTGAGTAAGAGAAAACAGCAATGCTTCCAAATTCCTGCTTGACGAGGCCTGCTTCCACATGCCATCGCCTGGCTGCCGGAGGGGCACCTGGCCAGTTGGACAGCGAAGCCCAGGGGGGTTCAGGGTTTGGGGGTTTGGGGTTTAGGGTTGAGGATGTAGGGTTTAGGGTTCGGGTTTAGGGTTTGGGGTTTGGGGCTTGGGGTTTGGGGTTTGGGGTGCTCGGGGTTTTCAGGGCTTTGCGGTTCAGAGTTTCTTTGGGCTTAGAGAGGTTTAAGGGCTTGAAATCTGGCGGGTGGGGGGGCATAGAGGGGGGAGGTTCCTTCCATCGTTTGACCACTCCCCGAAACCCCAAACCCTAAACCCAAAAACCCAAACTTGCTAAACATGCTAAGCCCCACATTGATATGCTCCGAAGCCAGCGCGGAAGGTGCCAAGGGGTGGGCTCCACCCGAACCCTAAACCGCCTGAACTCGAAACACCCGAAGGTTTGGGGGGCTTTGGGTTCAGGGGCCCTTGGACCTGTTTACTTTTTCTTCTCTAGATTCTAGTTCGGGGCTGAGGGTTGAAAGTTTAGGACTCAAAAAGTTTAGGGTTTAGGGCTAGGGTTTAGGATTGGATTTTTAGGGCTTAGGGACTGGAGAAGGTTTAGGGTCTGGTTCTTGCATCGGTCGAGCTGTAGGCGGCTGTGTGCCCTGGTAGAGCGGCTCACATCAGAAACCTTAAACCCTAAAACCTAACCCTAAACCCTAAAACCTAAACCCTAAACCCTAAACCCCAAACCCCAAACCCCAATCCAAGAACCATCCCCCCCTCCCCTCCCAGAGGTTGGCACCTCCACGATGCCGCGGTGGTAGCCGTCGTAGTCCGTCAAAGCCCGCTCCTGGCAAGCTTTTGAGGCCTTCGGGGGTGGTAGGGTTTAGGGTTTGGGGTTTAGGGTTTAGGGTTTAGGGTTCAGGGTTCAGGGTTCAGGGTTCAGGGTTCAGGGTTCAGGGTTCAGGGTTCAGGGTTTAGGGTTTAGGGTTTAGGGTTTAGGGTTTAGGGTTTGGGGTTTGGGGTTTGGGGTTTGGGCTTTATTGAAATTATTAAGGGTTCAGGTCCGGGGAAGTTTCGAGGAAAGTTTCGAGGAGTTTCGAGGAGTTTCAAGGAGCTTCTTTTTTGGGTTTTTCTTGAAAATTTCAAGTTACAGGGGGCTTGAGGGTTTAGGGTTTGGGGTTTAGGGCTTCCCAAAGCCCCAAACCCCAAACCCCAAACCCCAAACCCTAAAACCCAGCTCTCTCCTCAGCCAGGTACTTCTCATCGAACTCAGTGCTGAAGACCTGGCATGGTGTCGGGAGTTCCGGAATTGGATACCCATGCTCTGTCACTTCACGGGTCAGAAGTTGCAAGGGGTGCGTGCCCTGGTTCTTTATTAAGAACTAGCATAAACTTCCCTGAGTTCCGTATGAAGAACAAGTACAGAAGTGTCCCTACTCCCCTATATTAGTACCAGTATAGAAGTTCCCTAGCTCCCTGTTAGGTACTCGTACAGACGTTCCCTGGCTCCCGATTCGAGGACTAGCATAGAAGTCACAGAAGATGCTCCCTAAGCACAGAAGATGCTTGTAGGAGAGGGCCGGAGGCCGCACGCAGCCTCAAAGCTGTGAGATCCCTGCTTGGGTTCGTCTCTGTCAAAAGCTCCGTGGCTTGTATATAAACAGAAACGAAGCAGAGTTCCTAAGGGAGCTACAGCTAGTTCATCCTCCTAAGCCCTAAACTTCAACATACCTAAGCCCTACACGCTGAGAAGCATTGCTGCCACGACCTCGATGGGGTAGTCGGTGGGGTTGACCAGCCTCTAGCGGAACACATAAGGGGGCTGCCCGGCGCTTGGGGGTTTATGCTCCGCATGATGTCTAGTGGGGTCCAGACATAGGGCTGGGGGTCCATGCCGTGCCCAAGGACATCGTTTTCCAAAGCCGTCACGAGCCGCACTGTTTGCTGTGCCGCACCGTGCCTTTGCGCACCGAGATACCGGATTTTGGAGTTTAGGGTTTATGGGGTTTAGGGTGCACCGGGGCACCATGGTAGCCTAACAATAAGGGTGCCCGGGGTACGACTGGGCATCTGAGTTCTTGCACTTCTTGCACCGGACATGTCATGGTCAACTAGCCCTAACCCTGGACCCTGGACCCTAGACCCTAGACCTTATAAACCTAAACCCTAAACCCTAAACCCTAACCCTAAACCCTAAACCCTAAACCCTAAACCCTAAACCCTAAACCCTAAACCCTAAACCCTAAACCCTAAACCCTAAACCCTAAACCCTAAACCCTAAACCCTAAACCCTAAACCCTAGCCCTAAACCTTAAACCCTTGCTACCAGGCAAGCCGCGCTCTTTCCTGAGAGGCGGGCCAGAACTCTTCCGAACATCCCTCGCCCTTGGGCATCACCTGGGCTTCGGGTTTCGGGGTTTAGGTTTTCGGGGTTTCGGGGTTTAAGAGGTTAAGGGTTTAGGGATTCGGGGTTGAGTTAGGCTTTGAGGGTTTTGGGGTTTTGGGTTTCAGGGCTTCGGGGTTTGGGGGGGGTCTAGGGTTGCGGGTTTTAGGGGCTTCAAGAGGGCGTTCAGGGTGTCGCTTTCATGCCTGAAGCTTTGTGGCCTGTGACAGCAGCCGCAGAGGCTTTCGTAAAGTCTGCAGCTCGAAACTCCACGCCCCAAAACCGTAGACCCCGAACACTAATTAAGCCACCATCCGCAAAAAGTCTAGAGCCAGGAGGGAGAGCAGGAGTGGAAGCAAAAAAGCAGCCTCAACTTGGCACCCCGGTTGAGCCCTAAACCCAAAACTCCTTTAAGACCGGCCTGCAATTGAAAGGGACGTGCAGATGTAGTTCTCGGAACATCTAAGGTTGAGGGCTCAGGGCCTAGGGAGTCTTGGGGGCTGCTTTGGGCTTGGGCTTTCGGTTTTTTTTTTGCCTTAGGGGGGCGCTTTGGGGTTGTGGGGGCTGGCCCGGGCCCGTCGTGATCCAAGTCGACGGCTTCGGGGGCTTCGGCTTGCTGAGATTTCCACCCCTTGCGTCCTAGGTAGGATAAGGGAGCCCCTTGAGAGGGAACCCTTCTGAACCCTCTTCGGGCTCTCTTAAACAGGGACCTTATTCACAGGGTCTACATCCCCAAGGGTCCCCCTAATCCTATCCCCCCTTGCGCGGAACCCCTACATCGAGGGCTTTGGGTAAAGGATCTGTAGGGTCCTAAGGAGCCCGAGGCCCGAAACCCCTTCGAGGGAAAGGACAAGCCCCCGAAAGCGCTCTTCACCCTCGACCCCCCTAAACCCTAAACCCTAAAACCCTAAACCCCTAAAACCCAAAAACCCAAAAACCCAAAAACCCAAAAACCCAAAAACCCAAAAACCCAAAAACCCAAAAACCCAAAAACCCAAAAACCCAAAAACCCAAAAACCCAAAAACCCAAAAACCCAAAAACCCTAAACCCTAAACCCTAAAGCCTAAAACAGAAGCAGAACAGGTCCTACTCCCTTTGCCCGAGGCCCCAGCAGGCCCAAGCTGGTAGCTCAGACTGGGCCTTGCATCAGGCGCGGAAAGACCACGCATACCAGGGTTTAGGGTTTAGGGTTTAGGGTTTAGGGTTTAGGGTTTAGGGTTTAGGGTTTAGGGCTTAATTAGGGTTTAGGGTTTCGGGTTTAGAGTTTCCAAGCCCCATCCCTTAACCCCTCAAGCCCTGCCTTTCCACCCGACAGGCTTACTTAGGGTGCAGCGGCTTCTGTACCAGGGGCCACGCCAAACAACCAGAGGCTTGTGGTTACAAGGGCGTGGGATTTAGGCCTCAAAACCTACCCCCAAACCCCCCCCCCCCCCCAAAAAAAAAAAAAAGAAGTCCACACCAGAGGCTAAGGCCTTAAGGGTTTCGCAGTTAGGGTTTTTTAACGTTAAAAAACCCTTTTAGGGTTTAGGGTTTTTAACGTTAAAAAAACCCTAAAGGCCTTAAGGGTTTCGCAGTTTTGGGTCTGGCATCTCCAGGCCTGACTTCCAGGCGGAGCACGTCGCCGCGCCCCGTGACCTTGCGCGCATGCGGCTCTGCGACTCGACGGCTTGGGGGGGGGGGGGGGGGGAGGTTTAGGGTTTAGGGTTTAGGGTTTAGGGTTTAGGGTTTAGGGTTTAGGGTTTAGGGTTTAGGGTTTAGGGTTTAGGGTTTAGGGTTTAGGGTTTAGGGTTTAGGGTTTAGGGTTTAGGGTTTAGGGTTTAGGGTTTAGGGTTTAGGGTTGGCACTACACTGAACCCCAGAAACCCTACGAATCGGAAACCATAGAAAAAACCCTAAAACATGAACCCTACAAGCCCTAAACGCTGAGAGCTACACACCCTACGATGCCTAAGACTCTACAGGCCACAAACCTGGCTGTCCTGGGGTCTTGGCTGAGGGGGTTCTTCCTAGCTTGGGTTCAGGGTGGCGTGCCCTTGCTACGAAGCGTGGTTCTTCCGGCGTTTGTTGGGCTTCAGCATGTAGGAGGGCTTAGGGTTCTTAAGGTTCATGGAAGGGGGTCGAGGGTTTAGGGTTTAGGGTTTAGGGTTTAGGGTTTAGGGTTTAAGGTTTAGGGTTTAGGCTTTCAGGGTTAGGGTTTAGGGTCTCGCGCTTCAGGATGTTGAGGCTTGGGGGCCTATAGGGCTGATGTCGTTTAGAGCGTTGAGGGTTTCAGGGTTTGAGTGTGATGGTTTCGGGCTTCTTGGTGGTATTACCCTAAACCCTAAGTCTAGGGTAACTTACTATTACCACCCTTGGGGTGTCCTCCCCCCGCCCCCCTCCCACCCACCCACCCACACCACGAGACTGATCTGCTGCAAGGGGACAACGATGGACTTCCTGCGCTGGTTGTCCCGCATGCGGATCTGGAGCGTGCCTGGAGGGACAAGCGCTTCACCTAGGGTTTAGGGTTTAGGGTTTAGGGACCCTCAGCCCTCAAAGCCCAAACCTTAAGCCCTGAACCCTACGAGACTCTAGTTAAAGCGGTGTTCAGCCCCTCCTCTGGCCATCATACTCTAAGGCAGGAAACCCAAGAAGGGACCGCAACTCGGACAACCTGCCATCCAGGCCGCAATTCGACCGTTTAGGGTTCAGGGTTTTAGGGTTCAGGGTAAAGGGTCATAGGGCTTAGGGCTTCGGGTTTAGAGCTCTGGTGGATTTCTAGGGTTCCAGGGTTCCAGGGTTCCAGGATTCTAGGTTCTAGAGTTCTAGAGTTCTAGGGTTCTAGGGTTCTACGGTTCTAGGGTTCTAGGGTTCTAGGGTTCTAGGGTTCTAGGGTTCTAGGGTTCTAGGTTTCTAGGGTTCTAGGGCTTACTTCTGAGGTTTCTACCCTAAACCCTAAACCCTAAACCCTAAACCCTAAACCCTAAACCCTAAACCCTAAACCCTAAACCCTAAACTTCTGAGTTCCGAGGGAAACCTGTAACCTTGCGAAGCGATGGGAGCCGCCACCGGCCTGTGAAGAGCTGCGCGCCGTCGGGGGCAAAGGAGGCTGTCAGCACCCTGGCGGGTTTAGGGTTTAGGGTTTAGGGTTTAGGGTTTAGGGTTTAGGGTTTGGGGTTTAGGGTTTAGGGATTTTGGCATTAAGGTCGGTCTTGGTGTTTAGGGTTGGTACGGGATTTGCCAGTCCAAGTGTTGATTGGGGTGCTGCAGAAGCACAAATGCAGTCAGCAACATCTGTACATGCAGGGTGTAGGTAGCTAGGGTCTAGGGCTTAGGCGGTTTAGGGTTTAAGGGGGGCTTTCAGCATACCCACATGTCACTTGAACCAGCCCCTTCTCTTGCGCTGTCCGGTCCTCTGCATGGGGCACGCCGACAGCCTTCTCCCCCTCTTCAAACAGCAAGTTCCACCCCCTAATTTTCCGCCAACACATGGCGGAATGGTAAGCCGAAGTGTTCGGAGAAGCTTATAGACCCCAAACCCCCAAAACCCAAAACCCTAAACCCAAGAACCCTTTAACATTAGGTGAGGGGGGGCTAGCTTCCGGTGCAGCTGCTGTCGCACTCGTGGTCCAAAAACTCCCCCTCGTCTGGGGATAGGGCTTGTAGGGTTGAGCGTTCGCAGTTAGGGTTTAGAAGGTGTGGGTTCGAACCCAAAAAAAGAACCCTGACCCCTCTAAGGCCCTAAGCCCTGGGCCCTTCTGAACCCCAGCCCCTGCCCCCTTCCACCCCGCACCCCCCGCGCACCCTACTAAGCCCGAAACCCTAAACCCCCAGCCCCCTGCAGAGAAAGTGCGCCGGCGGAACTTCCGCTCGCCAGGTTGGAGGACGCCGCTGGAGGGCGTGAGGTCGAAGACGGACTGGACGCCAGGGTTTAGGGTTTAGGGTTTAGGGTTTAGGGTTTGGGGTTTTGGGGTTTTGGGGTTTTGGGGTTTTGGGGTTTTGGGGTTTTGGGGTTTTGGGGTTTTGGGGTTTTGGGGTTCTGGGGTTCTGGGGTTCTGGGGGTTCTGGGGTTCTGGGGTTCTGGGGTTCTGGGGTTCTGGGGTTCTGGGGTTCTGGGGTTTTGGGGTTTTGGGGTTTTGGGGTTTTGGGGTTTTGGGGTTTTGGGGTTTTGGGGTTTTGGGGTCAATGTCCCAGCAATATGCCTGGCATCATTTTGGGGGATCCCTTGTGATATCTGCTGAAAGGGGATACTTCTGTCATGAGCCGTCCTGGGACAGGCGCGAAGCTGCGGTTCAGGCTTTAGGGTAGGGGCTTGGGGTTTAGAGTTCCTAAACCCTAAGCCCTAAGCCCTGAGCCCTAAGCCCTAAGCCCTAAGCCCTAAGCCCTAAACCCTAAACCCTAAACCCTAAACCCTAAACCGCAGGGTGGTTTAGAGGCTTTTAGCTTCCTAGGCCTTGGAGGCTTTGGTGTGCTCGGGCCGGTTCAGAAGCTTGCGCTTGCCGAGCCGAGGTGTCCAATGCGCCAGGTCTTCACCCTGCCCCCCTTCAAGCTCTTGGGGTTTAGGGTTGAGCGTTTAGGGCTTAGGCTTCACTAGCCCCAAACTGACAAGAGATTCCATATAAGAGACTCTATGAGTCAAAAATAGCCAAAATACACCCTGAACCAATAAAGCCTCGAACTCTGAGCACTCGGAGCCCTGAAGCCCGAAATGCCCGGACCACCACCGGGTGCGCCTCGGACGACCTGCCCAGGTGGCTCTTGGGCTCCACATAGGCCTTTGCATGGATGGGTCTTTAATGGATGCAGCCATTTATTTGGGGGCGTTTTGGGGGGTCTCGTGTGTTGTGGCTTTGGGGTGTAGGGTGCAGAAGCCAAAGCCTCATGATTTGGGGTTGCTACTGAGTTTTGTAACAGCAGCAAGCGCAGCCGGGAATCTCAAAGGGGGATCCAAAAAGAGCCCTCAACGACAAAAGTCTATTGAGCTGTCCTAAACCCTAAACCCTAAACCCCAAACCCGAAACCCTAAACCCTAAACCCTAAACCCAACACCCTAAACCCTAAACCCTAAAGCAAATCCGGATTCACACCTCCTGAACCCGTAAGCTTGGTTCCTGGGCGGCCTAGGGGGGGAGGAGGGGGGAGGGGGGGGTGTCCTCTGTTGCGTAGGAAGGCAGCCTTCCCTGAAGAAAATGGAGTAAGGGTCCAAGGGTCCTACCGGACCTCGTAGCGATGTACGCCCTGAAGCCTCCCTGAACCCTAAACCGCAAACCCCGAAACCCCTAAACCCCAACCCCTGAAGCCCAACCCTAAGCCGCTGGAGATCCTAGTATCATGGGTTCCCCCACCGCCCCCCCTCTATACTACCCCCCATACTTGAGGCATGCCTAACTAAGGGTATTTAAGGGGGGGAACCGAGCGGGGGGGGGGAGTAGGGGAACCTATGAGAGTAAGCTCTGGAGTAGTAAGGGGCAGGCCCACTCCACAGGGATGGCTTTGTTGTTCTCGAAGGACAGCAGGGCACGCTTCCGGTGGCCTTTTAGGGTTTAGGGTTTAGGGCTAGGGTTCAGGGTTTAGGGTTTAGGGTTTGGGGTTTAGGGTTTAGGCTTTTTTGGGTTTAGGGTGAAGGGTTTAGGGTTTCGGGTTTAGGGTTTAGTTTTTAAGGTGAACACAAACCCCCAAACACCCGGCCATGCGCCCCACACATCTCTAAGCCCAAGATCCTGAAACCCTTGTCCCCGAGTTTAGGGTCCAGGGTTTATGGGTCTAGGTGTGGGGATGAGAGAGTGGGTGTAGTGCAGGGTTTCGGTTTCGGTTTAAGGGGTTAAGGGTTAAGGGTTAAGGGTTAAGGGTTTAGGGTTTAGGCGAACGAAAACCTCGTCCCCGAAACCTCCACAGCCCCCTGTGCCTACGATGATGCGGCCGAAGTCGATGGACCTTGTCGGACGGGCGTTGTCCCTTCAAACATTCCTCAATAGGACCCTCGTTTATGAAACATGACCCTAAGCCCCGCACCCGAAACCCAACACAACCCCTGGGCCCGCCCACTTCTTCAGGATTTCACTTCCCTACACCCACTTCAAGGAATCTTCACACGAACCAAAGGCCGAAAAAACCTGCAGGGCTTAGAGGATAGGGTTTAGGTTTAGGGTTTCGGGCTTCGGATCCAGGACACACACACACACACACACATGCACTAAACCCTAAACCCGAAACCCTAAACCCTAAACCCTAAACCCGAAACCCTAAACCCTAAACCCTAAACCCTAAACCCTAAACCCGGGGGGGGGGGGGGGGGGGAAGAAGTGGTGGCGGACTCCTGCGGTTCATCCGAGCTCGGGGCTCCGTGGAGAGCACCAGGTCGGGCAGAACGAAGTCCGCCACGAGCTGGATTTTGTAGTTCGGGCCTCCCCTGGTGTTTAGGGTTTAGGGTTTAGGGTTTAGGGTTTAGGGTTTAGGGTTTAGGGTTTAGGGTTTAGGGTTTAGGGTTTAGGGTTTAGGGTTTAGCTCAGGGAGCCTTGCTGGTTGAGGTAGCAGTCCTTAATAGAGACTATACTGGGGGTACTATAATCCCTAAGGACTGTTAGTACAAGGGCTGATAAGGGAGAACATCCCAGGCTTAAACCCTAAACCCGTGGACTCGCAAGAATTTCCAGTGCCGCTCCTTTTCTTCGGGTACTTTTACTGGGCACCTGGGGACCTGGGAAAGAGGGACGGTGCTTGAACAAAAATTCTGGCTTCGGGTTTTAGGATTTTAGGCTTCCAATTTTAGGGTTTAGGGCTTAGGGCTTAGGGTTTCGGGCTTAGGTTTTCTGGTGCTCGGTAGGGAATGAGTGAGGTACCCTATAGAATCCCTCCAAAGGGTATATGTAGGGCCGACACTCATTCCCTGCTATAGGAACCATCTGAAACTCCCCATCTTGCCAGGGGAATGCGGTGTTTATACCGGTCTCCAGAAGTCTTGCAACATGATCCCAAAAGCCCCAAAAAAATCCGAAGCACAACACCCCCATAAACCCTAAACCCTAAACCCTAAACCCTGAAACCTAAACCCTAAACCCTCAACCCTCAACCCTAAACCCTACACCCTAAACCATAAACCCTAAACCCTAACCCTGAACCCTAAACCCTAAACCCTAAACCCTAAACCCTAAACCCGAGACCCTATAAACCCTAACCCGAAGCACGACGCCCCAAAGCCCTCAGCAGCACCTCACCGGCAAGTTCCACTCGAGCTCCACGGTGCCTCACCAGGGGGCCCTGGACCCTTTCAAGCCCTGAAGACCCCAAATCCCGACAAACTGGGTTTAGGGTTCAGGGTTCAGGGTTCAGGGTTCAGGGTTTAGGGTTTAGGGCAACTGGGCTTAGGGCCCCACTTTTTTCCTGGGTTTTTTTCAGAATCTAGGCATGAAGGGAAGCTGGGCTTGAGATCTCGAGGTGTAGAGGTGTAGGGCTAGAAAGCTTGCCACTTCGAGCCTTCGCCCCCTGAGACTTCACCCTAAACCCTAAACCCTAAACCCTAAACCCTAAACCCTAAACCCTAAACCCTAAACCCTAAGAGTTCAGACCCCGGGGCCTTCCGGCTCATCGCGCCCACGCGTTGCCGAGACCTGGCAGCACCGGGAGCCACTTCCGACGCCTAACTGGGCTTAGGGGCGCGGGCTCGAACATCAGAGAGGTCTCACAGGAAGTCAAGGTGGACGTGGAGATTGTTCGGCTGCCAGTTCAGATTGGGAGCATGGGGTTTAGGGTTTGTGGTTTAGGGTTTAGGGCTAGGGTTTAGGCTATCGGGGTATATCGAGTACAAATCGGGTCACTGTGCACCTACCAAGCCGGGCCCAGGAAGCCAGCGACAAAGCCAGAAGCCGCGAAGCCCTACAGGCAATTCAACACCTATGGGGTTTTTCGAAGTTTAGGGTTCAGGGTTCAGGGTTTAGGGTACAAAACGCGTCGGAACCTCTGCCTCCTCTCATGCGATGAAGCAAAAAGACAAAACAACAACGCCACCGCCTGAAGCCTGGCAGCCTGGCAGCCCGCTAAACAGATTTTCTCAACTACTTGCGCCCACACCCTAGCCCCGTAAACCAGAGACTGCGCCCCTACGCAGTCTAAGGGCGCCTGGAGCATGAAGCTCTTCCCCTTCGCGAGCGGTTTGATAGACTCCGGCTCCACCTTAAGGACGGAAGTCTGGCTGAGGGTTGAGGTGTTTGGGGTTTCTAGGGTTTATCACAAACCTTCACCACTGCGCCCTACGTTGCCCCTTGGTGATACCTTCTTCACTCAGCAGGGTTTAGGGGCTAAAGGGCTTAAGCGGTTTAGACGGTCAGCCGCCCGTGCCCCAAACCCTAAGGCGCGATAGGAAGCCTAAGGTGCAAGGGTCGTAAGGAGCCTGTGATGCACACTTCATGCGCTTGGGTTTAGGGCAGTGTTCATGATTTTGGGATCCGCGCAGTTCTGCAGAGTTCGCATAACTGCATTTGGGGGCTTACGAAAATAGGAGACCCCCCCAATATAGATCCCCAAATTAAGTACCCCTAATTTCGGAAGCCCCCATTTCGGTGACCCAACGGCTACGGCTTAGAAGATTTCCAGCTGATAGACATTCGAAGCAAGCCTTCACCTTTTAAACCCCGAAACGGTCTTCTAATTGCTTAGGGTTTAGGGTTTTAGGGTCTTTTTAGGCTCCTGTTCAGTTGCCCTTGAAGAGCCGACAAGAAGTCCTGAGGCCGTGACAAGGAAGCCGTTCTCTCGTAGGAGCTTCTTGTCCAGGAAGAGGGAGACCTCAAACTCCCACCGGGTTTAGGGTTTTAGGGTTTAGGGTTCAGGGTTCAGGGCTTAGGGTTTTGATCCACATCGTTCTTGGACTGCCATTCGCAACTTCCTGGGCCTGAATAAGACACTGGCTTTCTTACTTTTGGTTGGTGGGGAATGAGGGAAATAGGGCCCAAAATATACCCTTTAAGGGAAGATGTAGGGTACCTTATTCCACCATTCCCTACTAACCAACCGTAAGTCTTGGACTGCGTGCATGCATGTCGGCTGGGGAGCCATGACGCAAACTAAGGGTTTAGGGTTCAGGGTTCAGGGTTCAGGGTTTAGGGTTTAGGGTCTTGGGATCATCGCACGTCTGCTTCTGAGCCTCGCGCGGCCTCTGCGCAGCAGTTGTGGATGTTGATCTTGCGGGCACCTCAAGCAACGTTTGAGCTACATGTGTTTGGCCCGGATCGGAGAACTTTGGGAGTCTATATATATATATAGATATGTACACCTACACACACATATACAAATGCATGTGTATACATAAATGTATATATATATATATATGTGTATGTATGTAGGGTTCGGGGTTTAGGCTTCTCATATACCCTCAAGCCCTACACGCCAAACCCGACGCCCAAAACTTTTCATTGTCTTGTCCGGGATCCCCAGTACTGAACCCAGGAATGGAAACTGGTTAGAACCCTACGCCCTAAACCCTCTGAGTTCGAATTGGGCACTGTGGTTTTACCATATTTACCATATGAAATCTCCCCAACCCCTCACCCTAAACCGAAACAGTGAAGAACAGCGACTGGAGATCTTGGGGTTGTGGGGTTTGGGGTTGAGGCTTCCGTCCGCCAAAGGGGCTGATCTGTCCCAGCGGAATGTGGCCGAAGTTGCAGATGTAGTGCCTCAGAGAAGAAAAGGTCTCCAAAGCCGAACATCTGTAGGAAGAGTTCGGGAGCAGATGCCGGAATGCTGGAACCCAAGTCCGAAGCCAAAGCCCTACCTACAAACATCAAAGTCACCGTGCTGGTTGACGAAGACTCTAGTCTTAAGGGCAAGTAGGGGGGTGCTGAAGACTCTAGTCTTAAGGGCAAGTAGGGGGGTGCTGAAGACTCTAGTCTTAAGGGCAAGTAGGGGGGGCCCTTCGTATGGTCCCACACCTTCCTTGCTGTCGATGGCAGCTGAATCTGACAACGAGGGCTCATCCAAATATCTGGCTCAACAGCAGCAATCCTGCTCTCGCTCGCGAGGCAGCACGCGCTGACGAGCCCTAAGCCCTAAGCCCTAAGCCCTAAACCCTAAACCCTAAACCCCAAACCCTAAACCGATGTGAGGCGGTCTCCTAGAAAACTGCTGGTGCCCCCTTGGCATCGGAGTGGCTCCACCTGCACCGCGTGCCAGTGCAGCTTCTGGCCCAAGCAACCCGCGCCCAGAGGCGGGCGGGATGTCACCTTCCTTGAAGGGTTCTGAAGTATGTTTGTACAGGGTAGACAAAGGGTCTGTATGTTATTCCGAAACTAAGGGCCCACAGAAAAGGGCCCATGTATCAACCCTGAGACCTAAGCCCTACGCCTATACCTATGCCACTTATTTTGCTGCCTATACCCCTGTACTCGACATAAACCCCAACTTTACTATACTAGAGTTTACGCTAGACTACTATGCTATGCCATACCACTGCCGTGCTAGTCTATGCACTGTATGCGCCGTGCTAAGCGATTACCCATGATGGCTTCTGCTTCTGTGGTTCTTTTTGTTTGCTGCTCTGCGCTTTGAATGACTGACTGACGGTCAGGCTTCAAATTTCCAGGCGCTAAAGTATTAATTTATACCCTGCACGAAGTCACCGTCTGTGACGCTTGGAAGCTCTCGACGATCCTATATTCTACGATAAGTCCCAGCTTGCTACGAAGGAAGAGCTCTCCCTTGGACCTAAATCCTAAACCTAAACCCTATGTAAACCCTAACCCCTCAACCCTAAACCCTAAACCCTACACCCTAAACCCTAAACTCTAAACCCTAAACCCTAAACCCCAAAAAACCCTAAACCCTGCAAGGGTGCTGCTTCACTCTGGGCTTCCGGACGCCGCCGTCACGGGAGGCGAGTCGATGCCATGCGGGCGCCGCCTGGGGGACTTGGGGGTTTAGAGGCGGTTCTAGGGATTCTAGGGCCTTCCCCAAACCCTAAACCCTAAACCCTAAACCCTAAACCCTAAACCCTAAACCCTAAACCCCAAACCCTAAACCTAAACCCTAAACCCTAGGGTTTATGGGGTTTATGTGAGTTTCTAGGGCCAGGGTTTATAGGTATGTGGGTTTGTAGGGGTAAAAGAGGTCTTATGAAGGGCGGGTTTATGTGGGTTTCTAGGGCTTCTGGGCTTACAGCGGGTTTGTAGAGTTTAAAGGGGTTTCTCGGCTCTCTGGGGCTTAGAGCGCTTACAGGTGTTGAGTTCAAAGTTCAGGAAGAAAATGCAACCTAGGTAGAAAAAGGGGTGCCGATTGACGGGGCTTCATAAGTGATCCTAAACCTAAGAGCGGGAATAGAGGTACTGCGGGGCATCCTGCGCAAACCCCCTGCGTAAGTCCTGCGCCCCACGCTTCCAAATTCGCTAAGGCCCTTGAAAAAAGCCAAAGCAAAACGGGATAGGGTTCAGGGTTCAGGGTTTTGTCTTTAGGGGGCTTGGGTTTAGTGTTCTGAAACCCTATATAAACCCTAAACCCGAAACCCTAAACACTACACCCTAAACCCTAAACCCTAAACCCTAAACCCTAAACCGAGTTTTCCTAACCCAGCCTGTTGTTGGGGCTGATGGACGGCGCTCGCTGCACTGCAACGGGCCTCAGCTCGCAAGAGGAGCTTCTGGGCTTCTCGGGGCTTCGTTGGAAAAGGGAGTTTAGGGTTTATGGTTTTAGGGGTTTAGGGGTTGAGGGGTTTAGGGTTATGAGGGGTTGTGAGGGGCTTAGGGCTTAGGAGTTTTGGCCTTGACATGCCGGGGGGTTGGGCGTAAGGTTTTGGGATGTGCTAAGGGATATACGAGGCTTCGATGGTTTAGGTCTTGCTTCTGTGTTGATGTTTTAAGGGTTATCTCCGGTTGCAGGAATGAATCCTGTCATAGCTGTATGGGTAACTGAAGCTAGCCTACTTATCGCCCTACGTGTAACTTGCCTTCAAGTTTGGGTGTGTAGCGGCTTACGCCCTTGGGGTTTGTCCCAGGGTCTTGGTGCTTCTAGAGAGTTTTTGGGTGTAGGTCCACAAACCTGGACCCTTAAGCCTGAACACCAGAAGGTTGTCCCTCAACCCTAAACCCTAAACCCTAAGCCCTAAACCCTAAAACCCTAAACCCTAACACCCTAAACCCTAAACCCTGTTGTACATGCGGATACCAGGGCCCACCCTGCGCTGGCCTGGCATGGGCCTCCAGGTTTCGGAGGTTGCTAAAGTTGGCCAGGTCCCAACCCTAAACCCAAGGAGATGCAACGTGGGGTTGATATGGGAAGCCCATGAAGGGCCCCTTGAGTGTCCTGCATACTTAGGCTTTGGAGTTTTTGGGAGTAGGGTTTAGGGTTTTAGGCATTAGGCTTTGGGTTTTAAGGCTTTAGGGTTTTAAGGGGTTAGGCTTTGGGTTTTAAGGCTTCGGGTTGTTCAGGGTTCGGGAGGGTTGGAAATCTAGGAGTCTCCGCGAAGGCTGAGAGATACCCGACATCGAATCGGGGAGTCTCCACGAAGGCTTAAACATACTCGGAGGTACCCATAATCCCTTACAGGGTATATATAGGGGGATATAGGGTACTTCATTCCCTCATTCCCTACTAACCAACCGTAAGTTCAACCAGCTCTTGCAACATTTCCTGGGGCGCCATACAAGCACGAAAAGGCATAAATCCGCAGGGGACTCTAGCTGCAAGTACGGCTTGGGATGTTCCCCCTTATACGAACAGTCCTTAATAAGGATTATCATAAGGGGTACTATAATTTCTCTATTAAGGACTGCTAGTATAAGGGGGCACATCCCAAAGTACGGCACAACAGCCAAAAAAGGCCCAACCAAGTCGACCTGGTGTAAGCGAGCTAACACACTGAGCCAACCTCGCAGCCGCTCCGATTCAAGGGACAAACGAACCCTACACCCCAAACCCAAAAGGCATCTAAAAGCATAAACGCCCTATAGGCCACTGAAAAACCCTCAAAAACCCTCAGACCACCCCTAAACCCTAAACCCTAAACCCTGAACTTTCGTAACCCCCCCCTCAAAAAAAAAAAGGATCCGAAGGCCTCAATTCGGTCTCGCACATCAACGCCTCGGCGCCCGGCGATGCTTGCCCTGACGAGACCGCTTCACGTCCGCCTTTCAACAGCACCTTTGGGCCGGAGTACAGGGAGGGTTTAGGGTTTAGGGTTTAGGGTTTAGGGTTTAGGGTTTAGGGTTTAGGGTTTAGGGTTTAGGGTTTAGGGTTTAGGGTTTAGGGTTTAGGGTTTAGGGTTTCCTATAGAATCCCTTAAAGGGTAAACACAGGGCCCAGAATTCCCTCATTCCCTGCTAAGAACCAGGGGGGTTAAGGTTTAGGATTCAGGGTTTAGGGTTTAAGCAGGGGTGGTGGAGTCTCGTGCTGCTGTCTTACTGTTAAAGCCCAAACCCCGAACCCCAACCCCCAAACCCCAAACCCCAAACCCTAAACCCCGGACCCCGAACCCCAAACCCCAAACCCCAAACCCCAAACCCCAAACCCCGAACCCCGAACCCCGAACCCCAAACCCCGAACCCCGAACCCCAAACCCCAAACCCCAAGCCCAAAAACCCCAAACCCCAAACCCTAAACCCTAAACCCTAAACCCCAAACCCCAAACCCCAAACCCAAAACCCCAAACCCCAAACCCCAAACCCTAAACCCCAAACCCTAAACCCTACCCTAAACCTAACCCTAAACCCAAACCCTAACCCTAAACCTAACCCTAAACCCTAACCCTAACCCTAAACCCTAAACCTAAACCCTAACCTAAACCCCTAACCGAAACCTAACCCTAACCCAAACCCTAAACCCTAAACCCTAACCCCCCCTAAACCCTAAACCCTAAACCCTAAACCTATACCCTAAACCCTAAACCCTAAACCCTAAACCCTAAACCCTAAACCCTAAACCCTAAACCCTAAACCCTAAACCCTAAACCCTAAACCCTAAACCCTAAACCCTAAACCCTAAACCCTAAACCCTAAACCCTACCCTAAACCCTAGACCCTAAACCCTAAACGGCACAACTCCGAAGCCCACGAGCCCCGCAAGCCCATGCCTCGCAGAGGTAGTGGCGATCCACCTCCAACTCGAGTTCCAACTCTGGCTCCGCCTGGGTTTAGGGTTTAAGGTTTAGGGTTTAGGGTTTGGGGTTTAGGGTTTAGGGTTTAGGGTTTGGGGTTTGGGGTTTGGGGTTTGGGGTTTGGGGTTTGGGGTTTGGGGTTTGGGGTAGGGTTGAGGGTTTAGGGTTTAGGGTTTAGGGTTTGGCGTTTGGGGTTTAGGTTTGGGGTTTAGGGTTTAGGGTTTCGGGTTTAGGGTTTCGGGTTTAGGGCAACTAGAGCCCAATAGAGGGCAGCTGGGGCATAGATGGCATGTGAGCTGCGGGTTGCCGTTGGAGTAGGAGCCAGGCCCGAAAAAACTTAAGAGCCACAAGCTCCTGTGCCCTAAACCCCCGGACCACTAGGGCTTAGGGTTTAGGGTTTAGGGTTTAGGGTTTAGGGTTTAGGGTTTTAGGGTTTTAGGGTTTTAGGGTTTTAGGGGTTTAGGGTTTTAGGGTTTTAGGGGTTTAGGGTTTTAGGGTTTAGGGTTTAGGGTTTAGGGTTTAGGGTTTAGGGTTTAGGGTTTAGGGTTTAGGGTTTAGGGTTTAGGGTTTAGGGTTTAGGGTTTAGGGTTTAGGGTTTAGGGTTTACTGAGATTGTGCATGCGGTTTTGGGCTGCTTTGGCCGAGCTCGCGTTCGGGTTGAGGCTTAACTCCTGAACCTGAACCCTAAATTTGAACCCCAACTACCCACCTGCGGCTTGAGTCTCCCCAAACGGCCACCAAAACCCACAAGCCTCTCAAGCCTGGAAAACTAAACCATGAACCCCATCAGCCGTATAAATCCTACAAGCCCTACACTGGCTTGCACGGGCCCCGAAAACGCCTCTCACACGCGCCTTGAGGTTAAAGCGCCTTTTGAAACCTGTAACTGTCCCTACAAGCCGCATTCACCCTACTTCCCTAAACCCTACACCCTAAACCCCCATAATCAGCCCTAAACCCTACACCCTGAACCCAATAATTGTCAAGCCTGCGGAGCCCAACAATACCCAAAAGCCCGAAACCCGAACCACCGGCGCAGGTCTGAGCAAGTCACCGGCACGTCCTCCCCGCCAAGTCCCTGGGAGTAGGCCAGGAATTCTGTTTTCGGAATTTCTAGGATGTGTAAGTAGGGCTATTGTAGTGTTTATGGGGTTTGCAGGGCTTGGAGGGTTTATTGTAGGGTTTGTGGGGTTTATTCTAGGAATCATGGGGCTTTGAAGGCCTGTACGGGGCTGTTGAGGGCTTGTTCAGCCCTAAACACCTAAACCCTCAAGACCCTATGCCCCTAAACCCACTATATAACCCCTAAACCAGCAATTTTGCAGCACTCGGTGCCTCGTCCACGGGGCCAAAGACAGATCTTGGGGAACGCACATCCTGGCGGCTTTGGTTTTGAGGGTTTGGCTTGGGGCTCAT